ACCCATTTTCCTCTTGGAATACAGCGGAGGCGTTGGGGGGGGGGGCCCCCCCCCCCCCCCCCCCCCCATTTGCAAACACAATGCTCGCACGATGGGTAGTAGTGGCGGTAATGGTTGGAAAACCTTCCATTTTCTCGATCTCGGAAAACCTCTATTTCTTCATATTCCCACTAGAAAACCTGCTTCGGGCCTGAAGGCCCGCCCTTGAGATATAACATGTGCTTCTAAGGTCGACGGTTTCTGTTGCTACGTCTCGGCTTCACCCCAGCTCCCTCAGCTGCGGTGTTGGGAATCACGCTTCAAACTTCAAGAGAAGACATGAACCATTCAGAAAGCGGCAACCTGGCAAACATGGTCCTCAGGTCGCGGCTATGTCTGTCTTTGAAGGCGGCCTGTTGAGGTAGCTATGGATGAACCTGCGCTGAGGGTCGAGGAGTTGGGGTTTCGGTTTAAAGGACGGAGGTTCAAGGTTCGGTTCTACGCTCTTCTCATCCTGTAGGGGTCTAGCGTTCAGGGTCCCGGGTTTGTAAACATTCACAATGTAATTAGAAGGCTAAGGCCTGGCAGCAAGCGGCTGATGCAAAAGGCTCGGCATATCCAGAAAGGTGTAGCGTGCATCAAAATGAAGATTTGCAAAGACGACAAACAGACACAACACAACAAAAACAACAAAAAAAAACATTTACACACATCCAAACAAAGTGACAGCGATGATAAAGTCACATATTTTCAAGAAAGAATCAATGCTGCTTTGTCTCAACCTGGATTGCCGACACTATTTTTCATTTTAACGATAACGTGTTATGAAATATGTAACTTTTGAGGGATTTGGTTTTGTGCCTTAAAACCCCATGGATCCAGCACCCCAGGATCCAACCCCCCCAAACCACGGTCCGGAATCATTAGGGCTAGACAACAGCAGGATAAGGGGTACTGGGTCTGATGATGGAGGCATTACGCCCTCCCACAGACATGGTACCCCCCCCCCCCCCCCAAAGGTCCTGTTAAGACTATAAGCTAGCAATGGGCTCGCCTATCGCGAACATGGGCTCGTCACCTGTACCCGCCCTCCACCTTTAGATCTACGAATAAGAAGCCTAGTCTATTTGACGCATTTGAAGATCAATCTTCCCAACGTGACACCGCTATGAAGGAGGCCCTCGGATAAATCCAAAGTTTTTTCGGACATGATCTCAGAACCCTTTGCTGTACGCCAAAACATCCAAAAAACCCACGATCTTCAAACCTGAGCCACGAATCTAGTCCAAACTCCTCATGTTAAGCCCGCATCCTAAGTCCTGAAACTCTAAAGTAGCCTTTGTGCGATTCGTGCGGAATCGCGGAGGTTGCATCTAAACTCAAAGCCCCACCCAAAAGCCCGTCTGGGGACTTTCCGAAACATGACCTGACACAGCGAAGGGGATTAGAGCATCGCGCCCCAGCATGTGTCCCCTTTCTGCAAAACCTCATGCCTGATTACCCCTGCTCTCGAATCTTTGAACCACCTAGACCTTGAACCTCCAAACTCAAACCCTTCAATCTACAAGCCCACAAAATCTGAGCCCTTAACCCCAATCCCTCAGCGCTGATGGCTTCCCCCCAAACTACCGTGGAACCCCAAAGACTCTCTTTCAACAGGCACCGTGGGCTACACAATGCTCATTATCAGGTTCCATGTTACTTTGCGGGAAGGCAGAACGTACCCTGAGGCAGGGGCCGATGGAGCTCAGCTTTGTGGTCCGTCGCCATTGCCATGCCCTTGGAGGCTTTCCGGCTTTACTGTCATGTGGATCCCAAGCTTTAGCGTTTCTTGCAAAGGGGACTCCCGTCGCTTGGGCGCAGTCTTCAGATAATTGTTGTTCTGGGCCTAGTGCGTCATACCTATCCTCTATGGCGCTGTACTTCAAGTATTCCTTCAGCACAGGAAGCGCCTTTTCAACATTAGGCTTTATCACATTTCTTTGCATGTACAGAGTGCTTGAGACTCTGGCCCGAAAGTATAGCCGTAGGGGGCCTTTGGACTGAAACTTGATGCTCCTGCCTTGAGTTTCACGGGCCTTGGGCTCACGATGTGGCGCGTGCTTTGGCCATCTCCTGGTCGGCTCTGGACGTCAAGGCGTTGCTGCAGCGCTGCACGCCAAAAAACCAGCGTTCAGGCCAGCACTCGTAGTCTGCATCTACAAACCTCAATTTCAAGGTGGCGCACCTCGTTCTCCGATTTCGGAGAGTGCTGCTTCAGCTTTTCAGGTTTTGCCACGACACAATATGAAGACCGCTGTCCGCGTCAAGTCTGTGCTAGGGCTGTAGGGTCGAGGGCTTGGAGTGAAGGGCTTGTGCATTGAGAGCTCAGGGTTGAGGGTGCAGGGATTGGGGTAGCCAAGGTCGTCCAATGATGTAGCCATGAAATGCCTCAACCAAAAAGTAGTGAGGATTTAAAGTGCAAGGTGTCGGGCTTCTGGTCGGAGTCGGGCGTTTAATCTTTTGGGGTGTTAGTATGGAGCCTAAGGTCCCGCTAGAGCAGCGCTCTCTTTTCGGCATGCGAAACTTGAAACTGTTGACAACACCTCTCACGCATGGATGGGAGCTGGGGAACTACCAAGGGTTTGTGGGTTAGGGGTCCAGGGTTTAGGGTGTTTGGGATTAAGTGCTATCTGGGAACGAGCGTGAATCATGTCCATCTCAAAAAGCACACAATGCTTTCATAGCGTCTTTCAACAGTCCGACATCTGCAATCACTGGCCTTTGCGTGCCTAGGAATGAAGGAATGGACCCTTATAATCCCTATACCCAGTACAGTAATTTCCATTTTCTTGTCCATTCCTTCATTCCCAGCTAACCAAAGGCCGGATCAATATGTTTGTTGGAGATCCCCACGACACTGTGTGCCGTTGAGCCATGTCGCACGCACGCCCCGGACACATCCTGCTAGCATGCATGTACAGGGCTTAGGGTTTAGGATTTCGATTTCGGTTAGGGGCTTAGGCTGAGGGTTTAGAGTCAGCTTGCCACATAAGCCTTTCGAACTTTCAGCCCCAAGCTCCCTAGGCCACATATCCTAAGCTCATTCGTTTTGGTTGTGAGTTAGGATCGGAGGCATGCATCCTCGTAGCAGCTCCTATGTAACCCACCACAATAGGGTAGTGTCCACTATCTTTTCCGCTTCTTCATTCCTTTCTGAAAAAAAGCAAATGAAAATCCGAAACCCTAGCAACCCTGAAACTCGAAACTATATATACGTTGCATGGACGCTTTGACGCTTTGGGGCTAGTTCTGACAAGTATTGAGGAATGTAAGATATGTGAGGGATAGTAACCTGAGCAGCAACTCATGCTGCACGAACTTATAGTGTGGGCATGTCTGCATGAACAATTCTGCATCCTGACTTTCCTGAGGCCGCGGCCAATGCAGCTGCGCGGCGGGATCCAGCGGAGATTCAAGTGCGAAGCCTACTGCATATACATATATACATATATATATATGTATACACCTGTACCCTGATGATCATTCATTTTAATGGCGCATTGGAAATAATCTGCCCTACACCCTAAACTTTGTATGAACCCAGCAAAGAAAACCCTATTGTACTATGTAATATTTTCCATTCTCTTTTCCACTATCCCCATATGAGCTATAATCTAAACTCCTAGTATCCCTCTGGATAAGCCCCAGAATCGTCCCCTATATAATCCCGTTTGAGGAGTTTAGGCAGTAGCGCGCGTAATTTTCAGAGAACCCCCATAGGGCCGGATCCCGACCGTGGGCATCCCACCCACGTACGTGGTGTCTACACCATCGGGGTGCAATGGAGCCAGATGCTGCAGTTTGGGAATTTCAGGTTTTGGGGTTCTTCGGGCTTGGGGATTCAGGGTTTTTGCTGTTGGGTTTGCGGCTGCAACCTATGGTAGCAGCAGCAACAGCAGGCTTGCTGTTGCTTGAGGCCTTTGTGACTGGTGGAGTGGAGGGAATACGGGCGCTTGTCCCGGCGTGCAGCGAAACTTCCCCACCCTACGAAAGCAAAAAGTCCCATGAACGGCTTGGGGATGGCCTCGACAAACAGGGAAAGCAACGAACACGCGTTGTAGAAAAAATTCTGGGCCTCTGAGATCTCATTATTTCTGACCTACTGAAGTCTTGGAATACCTTAAGAACCTCAAGAGCACAAATCACCCTTTATTCCCTAAGCCACAATATATCTATATATACAAATCTCCAAAACCCTAAGCCGTCAAAACCAAAACCTATGTACCCTAAAGCACAAACCCCGAGCCCCCTAAGCCTAACCCCAATATGCCCCAAAAATTAGGGGTTAGTAGGGAACAAGGAAATACCGTATTCCCTTCTAGTCACCAGAAAGAGAGCACGACGGTTCCATTAAAACCCAATCCAAGCCGGAGGATTCAGATTGTTGTTGTGCCATGTTTCAGCTGGCAGTTCCTGTATCAATCCTTTTGCAATCCTCACAAGGGACCCTACAAGAAGGACATGCTAGAGCACTAGAGAAGACCTGGCTAATCCTTGTGGCGCTGCATATCTGCGAGGGTGCCCTACTTTGATAAGCCTTTGATGGAGGAGGTGTTGCATCAGTGAGCCCCACAAGAAGAAACGTACACCGCGGTACACGGCAGACACCAGAATCATTAGCAATGTTCTGGTCCAAGACTCCTTACATACCTCTGGTATAGGGTAGCGGAAGCAGACCTTCACGTGATATAGGAAATTAGTGGGGCATAAATCCTCACCTCCTAAACTCCTGCATAAGCCAGTTCCCATTTCATTTTCCATGCTGTGAAACCTGTTTGTTGTCGCGGAGTGTGCTACGGCAGATACCAGCTCAGCCGTGGTTGTTTGAGCGACTTGCTGAGTCGCTGAGCCTCGGTCACGTGATGGTACGAGTATCCACTGCACGGGTGCACGCATCCAAGCTTCCCGCGATTTTGATTTGCAGGTCCACCTGCATGCAATGAGGACCCTGAGGTTCCCACGTTGCAGTACGGAAACACCTATAAAACATGAAGCTGGCACTGGCACGCTTCTGCTGCGGCCTTGTCCCAGTCGAAGCTGGCCGCCTGCAGCAAGGACTCGTCGGTGTGGCCGCACTTGCCCAGGTAGAGCTGGTCGGCATCCTTCTGGATGACACCGTTGATCTCCTCGTGGCTCTTGCCGAACTCAAAATCACGATCGCTCAGGCTGACGTTGCCGGACCTCTCCTCAGCCTGGTGGCAGGAAGTGGCACCCGACTTGGCTGCATCCTTGCGGCCGAAGGAGCCACCGCCGGTCAAGATCACGTCGGAGCGGGCCAGGCCCGCCAGGCTCTCCAACAAGGCCGGCAGGCGGAGAGCGTTCATGCCGCCGTAGATAATTGGGGTGGTCTGCTTCCACTCCAGGTAGTCAAGGGCCTTGCCCTGGCTCGAGACGCTGCAGGCGCCAGCGAAGGTCGCGGCGGAGGCCTTGTTGGCCTGTAGTCACATGTGGCGTACTGATGAATATTAATTTTCAACACCGGCATGCCAAAACAGAAGTGTCTTAGTATGATTTTGTGCCACGAGTGAAGACCCTCTGTGCTGGGGGATCCTTTCGCAGAAGTGGCTGAACTGCAAGCACTCATCGAATGCTGTTGAAAATCAAGATGGCCAAGAATGTTACAGTACGGCGCTAGTTGCTGCTTTGCAGTCTCAGCTGGATGTGGCCACGAGCCCTTCCTCAAAAATTCTGGGTTGCCGAAAAAAGAAACAAGATCGCCGGTGTTTGAGGTTTTCCTTCTCAAGGTTCCCCCTCGAGGCACCAACACGCATCTACGCTTGCGCTTCCACGGCGAGACGCCGCTCCTGAAATGCGACAAAGTGTTTCGAAACTTTTCCAAATGCCGTTTGCATCTTGCGCTGAAACCTTCGAAGATATTTCCAACCTCGGAGCTCCTGAGGCCCCGACGATGTCGGATAAAGAAATCGGTGACCAGTCATCTTCATCCGACTCCGTCGCCACTTGTGCCAAGGCCTTCGAACATCTGCTTCAAATCTTCAATAGTATCTTGCGCACTGCTTCATCTGCCAACACCTGCTTTGCAACTTAACAACTTGGGGAAAGGTCTTGTTCTGCCAACTCGTTGCATGGCCCTGCCGTGCGCGCCTGCTCAAGGCCAGCTCGAAGCCTCGCATCAGCAACCTCCCGGAAAACGCTGAACTTGAGCCCCCTCGATAAAGACATCTGCGACGTATTGGGGGGGGGCCACCGTTGGGCAGTCTGCGAAGAAGCAAAAACGGCCTGCAGCCTCTAAAGGCCCGCAAAGCCGTGCATAAAGTAGCATCTGAATTACCCCAGCTTGCCCCAGCTTGCGCCAGCTTGCGCAGCTTGTGCTCCCACATCCCGGTCCCCCGATCCGCTGAAACTTGTACAGTAGTAGACGATAGTCGACGGATGAGCCCCGCCTCTGCTGCAGCATCACCTGGCTGCTGTGCTGCTACACATCGTTGCTAGTGTTAGTGTGAGGCACCTAGGTTTCTGTTGCTCTTCGAATCCCACCCAGAAAAGCAATTCACTTAGGCACTGACGCATCATCTCAGACATCAGGGGGTTCGGCCACAGCGCAATCAGGGAGCCAAAAACTGCGAGATTCATTCTGAGGCTCGTCGCCGCAAGGGGAAGTTGCTCTTCAGTGCTCACCGGCAGTTTGCAAAGTCTTGCAACATGTGTGTCCACGCCTTACACTCACGAAACAATTTTGCCCAGATATGCGTTGCTGCCATGCTACTGGAAGTGTGCAAATTGCATGGGTTGCGCGCTGTGCTAGTAATCTAGTACCTAGCCCCGGTCAGATAGCCCATATCTCCCAGCACGAGACTTTCTTAGGCATTCCGAGGCCGCGCACCTTCGCTCATGACGACCTTCGTCAGTCATTGTCTGAGCCATTGAAGTCGCCAAGCCATGGGTTGACCAGCCAAACTCTCCCGGGCTTTGTCGACTCTGTGGAACTGGCACCTCTTAGCTCATGACATGCCCGCGACCCTACACGAAAGCCCGGCTGACATAGTCATGCCCTCTTAGGTTTAAGCACTTCCTTCCAACAGGTCTGTCCTGTTGAGTGACACTTGGTGACACAGCCCACACCGGAGACCTCTATTTTTTGGAAACCTTGCAAAAAAGGTGCTTCTTTGTCCACTCTCACCTTTCGTTCGCTTCATTTCCTGCCCCCTTTTTTCGTTTACATATGAAATATGTAGGGGCCGCCAGAAAGACGCGGCTCGATTTGGCCAAATTTTGCCGGGCAGGCTCCGGGCAAAATTTGGCCAAATCGGGCTGCTCTTCGTATGCGATGAGAAATGCGCGGCTCGATTTGGCCAAATTTTGCCCGGAGGCTGCCCGGCAAAATTTGGCCAAATCGAGCCGCGCATTTCTCATCGCATACGAAGAGCAGCCCGATTTGGCCAAATTTTGCCCGCAGGCTGCCCGGCAAAATTTGGCCAAATCGAGCCGCGCCTTTCTGGAGGCCCGAAATTATTTAAATTATTTTAATTATTGATTTTTTTTATGAATTCCACCCGAATTTAAATATTGGAGGCCCGAAATTCGTTGTATTTCTTTGCGCAAAAGGAAATAACACAAGGAAATGATGTTACATGTATCCAAAATTAGGATGTCCTTTTCTTCTTTTTCTGCAGCAAAACCCACCTGAAAAGGACACCTCACGAGAGATCTCTATTTTTTGGACCAGCGGCTTCTACCAGTTTCATGACTGAAGAGGCTTGACGCGAAAGGTCCATTCGAAACGAGGTCATATCCATATCAGCAGATCCACCAGACTGCAACTTGGCAACCAACTCCTTCACGAAAATGAAAGCGGACCACAAGGCTGGGCTCAATTAGTACCTGCGTCAGGGTTGTACCGGAAAGCAACATGGAAATTGAGCATTGTGTAGGCACCTGTTGAAAGAAATTTTATGGGGTTCCACGTTAGGGGAGGCCATCGGTTAGAGTTTGGTGGTTCAAGGTCTAGGAGGTTCAAAGGTTCGATGGTAGGGGTAGCCAGGCGTGAGGCTTTTCACAGAGGGGCCACATGCTGGGGCGCGATGCTCTAATCCCCAGATGGGGCTTGGAGTCTAGAGTGTTGGCAGATAGGCCCCAAGAAGACATGCAACCTCTGCCATTCCACACGAATCAAACAGAGGCTCAGCACTCTAGAGTTCAAGGACTAGGGAAGGAGTTTGGACTAGATTTGTGGCTCAGGTTTGAAGAGTGTGGGGTTTTTTGCATGTTTTGGCGTACAGTGAAGGGTTCTGAGATCATGTCCGGTGTAACTTTTGATTTGTCCGAGGGCGCCCTTAAATTTCCCCGGTCCCTGTCATAGCCGGGGGCACAGCGGTTGCACAGCGCTACCCAAAACTGTAAATCATACGTATCCTTAACCTGCAAAGGCTAAGTCAAAAACCCCGAGCATGGTCAATAAAGCACCCTGGACTGTAAACCCCTGAACCTCTACTCTCAAGCGGACCAGCTCCATCCCTGCCCAAAAAGAATCTCACAAGTTTCGGGCTTCAGCACATATGTTGTTCAACGATGTGGGTCTTCACAAGGAAAGTGCTACAAGGGGATGCGGGTGCAAAAAACTCCAGTAGACTCACCAAAGACTGATGTGCTACGAGTCCTGACAACTAAACACGAAACCCCAAACCTTAAACAACATCAATGAACTTCTCTGGGTGCAATCGAAGATGCCCTGAGCGAGACTCGTGGGCAGCGGGGTGCTGATTGTAGGCCCCCTCCCCTAAGAAGCTATCGAACAAACCCTGCCTGGGCTGTTACAGGGTTTAGGGTTTGTTGACGTGCGTAGATTTACTGCTTGACCGAACAAAAGGGCGAGCAACTCTTTCCAATTTGCAACTAGTGGTCGATGAGCTCTGGAAACAGCAAACAGTGAAGTCCCTGTTGCTTGTCAGCAGGCGTTGCACGCATGCTGCGTTGCCTTTCAAAATCTGATAAAAGCCAGCAATCAGTGAGTTTGAGTCCTGGAAGGAAACGATGACGCGCTCCTGAAGAGTACGCTCTAACAGGAATGGCACACCGATGCACACCCAGATCTGGAAAGCCAGGTGGAAGGTTCAGTGCATTCTGGCAATAGACCTGCGTCGTGGCCCAGACTACGTCAATTACAGCCGCTGCCGAGAACAGCATGGACCACAAAACACGGGATCCCAGAAGGATGCCCATCCCAGCCAGCTCTCATAGCAGAAGCTGGGCTTGCGGAAAATCAATCGCAACACCAAAGTGGGGTGAATGTGAAGAAAGTGAACATGGCCATAGGTCCGATGCTCGAGAAGCCTTCACCAGGTGCCAAACCGTGGTTTTCACATCCCTCTTCGTGCGGTGCCAATGCGCTTCCAGCTCAGCAAGTGCAGAATAAGAGACGTCCTTCATCCATGACGTTGATAGCGGCGTCTGACAAACCTCCGGTAACTTTTGGGATTTCGATATTCAATCTGTTGGATGCAGCCCTGCCGACTATGCTCTGCGAGCTGCAATCGAATGGAAAGACTTTTGAAATGCCAACGCACGGAGCCAAAAAACTCAGCGAAGAATCACCAACTCGAACATGACATTTGGCAGACCTGTAAGCGTGATTGCGGCCCTGAAGAAGCAACTAAGAAGGCCCGAGTTGTCCTAAAGAAAACCATTGTAAGGGGCCGCTAGGATCAGAGAGCAGGACGGGGAGTCTCTGTTACTTCGGCGGCTGCTAGAGAACCGGCTCCCGATGGAGGCCACCTATTGAGCAAAAACCATCCCTATGGGGTTTAGAGTTTAGGCACTACGCCTCTGGCAACCTTGCGGGCTATGTCTAAGACTGCGCACACCAACTGAACCAACCCCAAACCGTAAAGCTAGGCATGCCAACTGAAGCCATCGCCTCGCCTCGCCGAAATCTTACCTAGTTGGTAGGCCATGAGCCAAGGAGGGTCGACCATTGCAAACTTGTGGGTTGGCCATTTTGACTCATGTCCTTGAACAAGACAACTCAAGGAAGCCAGTTTGGGCCACCATGTAGTAACCTCTGCTTCTGAGAGGCTGATTTCCTAGGGAATGCATCGCAGCCGCGAGCTTTGAAAGTTTCATCCACAGCCTTGATCAGGCTCGTGCACAGGCAGCAAATTGATCCTGGAGTGATGAGGTGCAAGCGCCTGAGACAAGAGGAGAGCTTGGACGTGATCAACACAAGAAACTCATGGGCAACAGGGCCGGCCTTCCAACCTTCATCACTGATTCGATTCCACTTCAGGTCGATCTGTGTGACGACGCTGTTGTGCTGGAGGGCCTCTCCTAAAGCCTGGACCGCGAAAACCGGATCGAGAAGAGGCCCTGCGCCCGAAGTATCAACCCTAAACCCGAACAAAGGCCGCCTTCGCACCGCCATCGCTGATGTGATTGCGCTTCAGGTCGATCTGTGTGATGACACTGTTGTGCAAGAGGGCCTCTCCGAACGCCTGCGCTGCAGCAACAGAACTGCTCGAAGGCAATCAAAAATGAGGCGCGCAAAGACCAGAGCGCCTGAGCGCCCACATCACCGATGCAATTGAACTTCAGGTTGATTAGCGCAACGGCGTTATTGTGCTTGAGGCCCTCTCCTAGAGCCTGCACCAGGATTGCAGAAGAGGCAAACAGAAGAGGCTCGAAAACGGGCCTGAGCACCCTCATCGCCGATTGAGTTGTAGTCCAAGTTAATGGTGGTGATTGCGCTGTTCTGCTTGAGCACCTCTCCCAAGGCCTGGGTTACAGGACCACAGCGGAGAGCAATCATTTAGGGTTTAGGGTTTAGGGTTTAGGGTTTAGGGTTTAGGGTTTAGGGCCACAAGAACTGCACATAGGCTCGAGCCTTGGCACCCTCGTCACCGATTCGATTGAACCCCAGGTCGATTTTCAGGATGGCGCTGTTATGTTGGAGAGCCTCACCCAAAGCCTGGACGGCGACACCAGGATAGCACGGTCGCAACGTGAAGCTCAACGAGCGCAGAACTGCTACAAGGTGAGCTGCCAAACTGCCCTGTGCCTTGACAAAAACAACTGGGTCCTGGCAGTTCGTGGCCACAAGCTCTCGTAGGGCTCCGAGACGCGTGACAGCCTGCAAGGAGGCCCCTGTTTCTGGTTGCAGAGTGGACTTCGCGAACTGAAGAAAACATGGATCGGAATCCTGTCTGGCCTGGCAAAAGGCTTTGGCTTCTGCCGGGCCGCAGTCAAAGCGGTGGAGTCGCAGGCTTCGCAGACTCTGGTACTCAGGCAAAGCGCGCGCCAGTGCAGCTACTTCTGCTTTCGGCAAGTGTTCCAGCTCTGATTCCTCACAGACGGAAACCTTCTGAAAAAATATCTTCTTTTGAAGATGGAACACAGCAAGCGCATCCGAGCGGTGCGTGAAGGCAGCCTGGGCCATTTGCTTTTCAAAAACTTCGGGAATCGTTGGAACTCGTCCTGGGCTGGAGCCATCCAGCTCTGCCTGGCCTTCCGTCGAGTCAATGCACTGGTTGCTGGCGGTGGAGGTCCGGGTGGAAGACCACTCCACTTCAGCTTTGCACCAACCACGGTCCCCATATGGTGTGCGATTGGCCACCAGGTCTTTCAAAGGGCGCTCGGCGATTCCACCAGTGTCCAAGTGGTACACATGCACCCGTGCTTCACTGGACAGCATGGCCTCCCAAATTGGCTTCGGCGTAAGGCTTTGGATGCGCAAGGTCCGCGTGGATTCGTGCGCATAAAGTACATGCATGTTGGCCATGGACTGCCGGAAGCTTGCTTCTTCCTGGTCGGTCTGCCGTTCGAATTGGAACAGGGACATGTAGTCGTAAAACAACCAAATGTCGTAGAAGTCAGCTTTCAAGCTCACGTAGTTCACAAGTTGCTCCAGCTGAAACCGGCACGGGTCGGGATGTTCACGCGTCTCCCAACAGTGAGAGACAGAGCAAATGATGCAATGCTTTGTTCCTTTCGACCATTCGCGGACTTCTCGCCGTGTGACAAAGGCGGACAGTTGTGAGCCATCAGGGAGTTGGCAGATGTCTCTTTCCGCTTCTTGCCGACGGGGGAAGGCTATCTTCGCCTTGTGCAGCTTGTAGAAATACCTCACAAGCAAACCATCCCCAAGAGCTGGGAGGTTCGGCGCTCAGAACATGGTATTGCGCAAAGCAGGTGCCCCAACCTCCACAATACGGTTCCCCGACGAAACTCAAAACCTTCAATAATTGTGATGTCCACCCCAAAAAACACTGGCCTCTTGGATCCTGTTGCTGTTGGCAAGACTGCTTTCGATTGGTACCAAGAATGCAACCTACCAGCAGCTACCAAAGGCTCAAAACAACACAAACAGAGCTTTGACCACATGATACACCTCATGTTGGGCACGTTGGCCAACGGCCTGGGGGAGCTTTGACCCGGCCACGTGCCCAATTCGCCATGCAAAGCTGGGGAGCTGTCATGCAGCAAGGGTCTACAGTTCACCGAGGGTGCCCAAGCAGGCGTGGCTGACGGCTGCTAGGGCGTGCCCATCAGCATCGGCCAACAAAGCAGTTGCTCAGCTGTTGCTCCGCATGGAAGCTGATGCAGTTCGGGAATGTCTGGGAGGATGCATTCGAAGGTCTCAGTTTGCGCTTGGCTGAGTGGACGGCGCTGGCCGACAGGGCAGGGTTTCGTGGACCTGTTGACCTTCGGCGAGGGTAGCTGCACACCATGTCTGCTTGCTCCAACCTGCAGGCTGGCTGCACGAAGCTGGCCATTTCACGCGTCTCGCAATCTGATGCGTCTCGCAACTTTCACTTTCGCGAGCACGCATGTTTGTCGACCTTATCGCCAAATGCTGGAAACTCGAGCGCTCGCAGGCCATGCCCTAACCTGTCGCGCGCAGGACTCCACACGAAAGCTTCCAAACAAATGTGAGGGCGCATGGATGCGCATGGTTAAGGCAGAAGCGGGCATTTTCCGGCGCACGCCCAATGCGGGCAGCTGACTGGGCGCCGAGTCCACAAGCTCGAGGACACCGTCGGGGGGGAGCACGCCCGAAACCAGACAACATGCAAAAGGCGCCGAGGGTCAGCACCTGTCAATACTCCAACAGCAATAGAAAGGGCCGAACGCCCTATTCGAGTTCGCGACGTTCTTGACTTGTGGCCCACGAAGGTGGCGGCAGCGCAGGGGTGACTTGGACACTCTCTTGGCGATGGCGGAGGTGCTAGCGAGTTGACGGTGTGGGCGTGCGCATGCCGATCGCGCACACACACACACAAACCAAAAACGGGCCCGTGTGGGGCTCTGAAAATCTGCCCCCCAGATTTTCTTCCAACGCGCTGCCTACAACACAGAACACGCCCTAAGCCCCAAACCCTACCAAACCCTAAACCCCAACCACAAACACTTTCACTTAGTCCAGGGAGCTCTGCACGGACCAAACCAATGTTGGCATCCTGCAGGGCTTCAAAGCCGAGCAAACAGGGGTTTACGGTCTAGGGTCTAGGCTTTAGGAACTTCCTAAACGACATCACTTCTCTGGCGTGAGATGAGAATCTACTCCATTCGTCACATTTCCTGTTTCGAGGTTGTGGCTGCTCTGAGTATCTCCGAATCCTTGGGCGTTTTGCCAAGCATCGTCATCATCTTTTGTTGGGGCGTGCGACAAACCATGTGTCCCGAAACAGGAAGCAACCCCAACCAACATTTTCCGCACAGGAGTGAACTACACGATTTCCTGCTTCGGCAGATGTCACTCTCAACGCTGTGAAACTACTCCTGAACATTTTTGTGCAAAGATGCTACTTCCCCGACATTTTTGTAAAAAGCCTACAGGAGACAATAGCTTGGCGTTGGTTGCTTCAATCGCATGGTTTACCAGCCACCGCAGTCCAAGATGAACTGGCCCAACTCCGCGCGATCCGACAGGCTGTAGGCCTCGGGGCGTCGCACACTTGCCCACGTGCAACATCTGAGGCCCTTCCTTTTTGCCGGTTGACCAACATGCCCATCACAGGCTTGCAATAACAAATTGTCATCATGCAGCAAGTGTACAGTACCCACGAAGGAATCTTCCCATAGGTACACGACACCCCCGACACCCACAGGCACACGACAACTGCCACCCGGTCCTTCTCCAGCACAGCACCTTTTTGCTTGGCAACCTCCGGGAAGTTTGTGGCACCGAGGAGTATCGGACGCACGCCTTCACCCGCGACCTTGCACAAACAAGCTCACAAAACGTCCACCAGCTAGGGTTCAGGATAGCAACCCGCAGCACCGCAGCCCGCAGCCAACTCATTTTCAAGCTTGGTCGCCTCTGGGCTTGCCGTCGCCTGACTACAAAGCGGGAAATCTCTCGTGGTCAAAACATAGAAACAAAATCATAGACTGAGGCTCATATCCCTGTGCATTCCTGACCGCTCTCTGCATCCACATTGACTGGTTCCCGCAAGGTTATCCTTCCCTCCCCTCCTTCCTTTGTAGACAATGGAGTTCAACCAACGCTGCAAAATCTCAGCATCTGTGCCTTTCGGTCAACCGCGGATTTGGACTGGCAAATGCAGCTTCGGGAACCAAAAGTGCAGACTCGGGAAACTGGAAAATGCGGATTCGGGAAACCCAAAGCGCGGATTCGGGAACCGCAGATTCGGCGGACTGGAAACTGCGGATTCGGGAAACTGGAAACCACGGATTCGAGCGCTTCCAGCTCCTGAATGGCGTGAAGCCCGTTTCCTGATCCTGCTTCCCGAATCCTGGTTTCCTGAATCCTGGCTTGCTGAATCGCGGCTGGCCTGGTCCATTTTGAGGGTCTGGGCCGTCGAGAAGCCGCAAGACCATGATGCTCCAGTCTCTGAGGCCAAAGCGCACCTATGCTTTGAGAAATGGCAAATGCTAAAGATCGGGTTTGGGGAAGTGCGACCAATGTCCAATGGGCTTGACTGTCTGTGAGTAGCAACCAGCATTTCCAGCTATGAACTGGGGTGCACGTGTCCTTGAGCCACATGCTCAGCATCATGCACGCCTATAGTAGCATAACAAAACACGTGGATCAGGTCAATACTTTCATGAGTGTGCACATGCCGACGCAGCATATTTCGCAGAATGTTACAGTTATCTGAAAAAGCCAGGAGGGTGTCCCTCTCTCTCGGCTTCGGTGCATCTTTTGCCTCGTAGACCCGCTGACATTCGGGACTTTTCGCTGAGACCGAGGACATCGGGAAGATGAGGAGGTTCGCTTCCTGCTCCAAAGCAGAGATGAGCGGTGATCCCTGCTTGCACTATGAAGCTTTGTCTGAAAAGGTGGAGCTGATTCAAAAACGCACTCAAAAAAGCGCTTAGAGGAGCCGAAGACCCGGCTGCCTGTGGCCTCCGGAGAGGCCAGCGCTCCAGAGGCGGCTCCTGGCATCAAAGTGCGCTTTGTGTTTTCAAGGGAGCTCGACAAAAGAAGCCCAGGGCCTTAGGGTTTAGGGGTGCGGGGTTGAAAGTGTAGTCTTTCTGAGGGGTTGTTTTTGGGGAGTTTAGGCTCTAGTTGCGCAGGACTTTCTTGGGATTGAAGGTGCTTAAGGCTTGAACTGGCTTTCGGCCACCTTTCGCCTCCGATCAAGCCCGGAGAAGCCGAAGCGTCAGGGGACGGGGCACACAGGCGCAATTACAACAAAAAACACGTACACTGACTAGACTGAATTCACTGGATGCAGTGTTAAAAGGGGGGCCCGCGTCGGGATGAAGAGAAAATATCTAAATAGAAGAGTTCCCTTTGAGGGCTTAGAGCTATTGAGTTTGTAGGGTTTAGGGTTAAGGATAACATCCACACAGGAATATATTGGCGATTGATCGCGCCGTTATGGTGCGGCAGAGGTTGCACAGGCCCGTGATCGGAGTATCGCAACACAAGCTGCAGCTGCTACAACACGCCTTGCGCTGCGAATGCGTCCGTTTTCTTGGCTCAAGGAGAAGTCGTAGACTGCGAGTCAGCGCGCCAACAAGATCATCGCGGGGTGTTCCACGTGGGAAACCTTTCTTGACTTCCTGCGTGCCGCCCTAGACCCTAAACCCTAAACCCTAAAAACCCGAAACCCTAAAGCCTCAAGTGTTAGGGTTTTAGGGTTTTGGGGTTCAGAACAACTCGGGCGTAATGCAGTCTTATCTTCTTCTATATCTCATATTTTCTATTACGATATAGTGTATGGGCCTCTCTATGAGCCTTTCCTTGATCGTCAGATCACCTCTATCTTGCAGAGCTCGACCTTGACCGTTTCGATGGCCGAGAGCTTCTCCATCAGCTCTTGCTCACTCACGCCATGCCTGAGGAGGCCCACAATGAAACCTCCGTTGCCAGCACCCATGAGATTGCAGCGGCCGTAGCAGAACTCGTCAATCTTCTCCAGCACGGGGACCAGCTCCTGATTCAGGAAGCTCTTGTCAAGCTGGACACACAAATCCCGGTAGACACCCAGCTCGTCGCCAATCTCGCTCAGGGCAGCGACCACCTCGCCACTCGGCGACCTTTCTTCGGTGACCAGTAGTGCGCTGCTGAGCTCCGCGAATTTCTCGAAGCCGCGGTGCATGCGCCGCGCGTTCGCCGGCAGCTTTTCTGAGATGATGGAGACCTGCGTGGCGCTGCCCTTCATGAAGCGGTCCACCACCGAGTCCAAAGTGAGCTTGGCCAGCCGGGTCATCACGGTGTTGATGCAAATCAGCCGTTCGTTGAAGTGCACGCGGTGGGCCTCCGACCAGTCCACCTTCCAATGCAGACATTCGTGAACAGCCATATTATGTAGCGAGCAACAACATCACAAAACTAGCGAGCGATCGGTGGCATGGTGCGCTCATACTGCAGCGCCACAACAACAGCCCACGTCAATCTCGAGCCATCACGTATAAGAACGCACAACAAGTTCGCAAACAGCAGGGTGCTTTAGTAAGAGCCACCTTCTGCACCTCGTACTTGCCGGTGCGTGCCGTGGTCATCTTCATGCCGGGGCAACCGCCGCCCACCTGGTCCTGCCACTCTTAAGAGGGCGAGGGCTCTTCACAACTTGAGCATAGCGTGATGCTGCTATCTCGCATCGCATCATGCTGTGTCGTATCGTACCATTTGATGCGTTCACATAATGTTGAGGTAGCCGGGTGTTAACACCGGAAAGTTTATCGACTGGGTTTTGGCCAACAAGAAATGTTACATGAACAGTTTCGGTGCTGGACAAGGGGCCGAAAAGCAAGCAAGAAGTAGAAGAGTTGATGTGAAGTTGAGGTGAACACCATGGTGCGGCGTGATGGAGTGCACCTTGTCAGGATGTGTTTGGTCGGGAGTTGCGCGTGCCGGGCTCTCAGGGTGAGACGGTTTGTGAGCGAATGGCATTCAGATCGGCAGCCCGTAAGGCCTGCTTAGAGGCGGAGATCGGGTTGAGGGTTTAGGGTTTAGCCTCTTGAACATCCAGCATCATACCAGGAGGGAGGACCCTTCCTTGCTGGCAATCTAGCATATTTCGAAGTGGAAGCATAGTCTTGTCCAGCGAAGCGCTCACGCCATGAGAACTGCAGCTCACTCGGACGCAAAGCGCATCCTGAAGGCCAAAGTTCCGACTCTGGTGGGTCGCCTCTGTTGCCGTCTCTCGCGGTCTTGGAAGCAAGTATTTGGGCACGCTGCTTCTGACCTTCGCTGATTTGCCTTCGTGCCCCTCCAACTCACCCTAAACCCTAAACCCTAAACCCCAAACCCTAAACCCCAAACCCTAAACCCTAACCCTCAAGACAAAATACATGGACATTGTACGGGGTATCATTCTGAATTTTCCCAGGTTATTTGTCTAAACAGCTGACATGTAGAGTTCAAGTACATTCATCCACAGGGCTGGGAGGTCAAATGCTCAAGTCATTTAAAGATAGGGCCTTCCCACCCAAAGAATCCCAGAAGGCCAGCCAGGGCCGGGAGGCCGCCAAAAACATAAATTAGGTTCTAAAACATAAACGTTCGCTCAAAACTTTCGCAAACGTTTCGCTCAAAACGTTATTGGGACTCAAACCCTATACATTTTCTATAAACCCAAAACCCTAAACCCTAAACCCTGAACCGCTTGCTATTTGGGCTGATGGCTGTCTTCAGGAAGCTTGGACGATTTGTGCAACGGATGCAGTTTTCAAACTGCTGAGAGACATTTTGTGCAACGGATGCAGTTAGAGACATGTGCTCAAACGCAAGGCCGACGTTTGCGGAACACATATGGCGCAAGTCCCTCCCTCCTCCCTGAAGGGCACCTGGAGACAATTACGTGGTTTTGCTGAAAGACTTTCACTATTTATAATCTATCAGTCCGTTCAGTGCAATTCATGCCCCCTCATGCACAAAGTACCATGTAATTAGCAAACCGTATCACATCGTCATGCCACTTCACGTCGTCGCACACCTGTGTCATAGCATGCCAGGTTATGTCATGTAATGCATTGTCATTGGGATACTAGCAGTCCTTCACAGGGAGTATAGTACCCCGGATTATAATCACTACTGAGGGAAGGGAAAATCCCAATACTCTCATGCCGTATCGTGGACTGTCCTGCCACCCGCCGCCGGTGCCCAGCAACTGCTCCACGGCGAGCACGAGCTCCATCTCCTCAGAACGCCAACAACGCACTCCATGCAGCAAAAATGCAGCGTTCTTGATGTTTTGAATTGTCGAGTTCTCAAAAGATCACTGACAGACATAGTCCACCTGTTTTTGAACCATCTCCTCCTCGAAGCTGTAGGAGTCGTTGCCCAGCGCTTCGCAGAGGGCGCGGATGCAGGCCAGCATCAAGATGCTCGACGTGCCCAGCCCACTGCCTCGTGGCAGGTCCACGCGAGTCGTCATCGTGACCGGCGGCAGCGAGATGCTTGAAACGTCCTCCACGCTCTCCACACGCTTTCTCCGGTTTATCCGGCTCTGCCGGAAGTCCATCAAGACAGCAACGACGGCACGGTGCAGAGCGAGCGGGGAATCCAAGTCAAAGCCCCTCGTGACCAGGCTGCTGAGGCTGTCGTACTGCTCACGGTCACCCGTCGAGCCGTCCACAAGGCTGAGCTCTGAAGTCGGAAGCTCGGTTTCTCTATTCGGCTCCACGACCGCGGTGATGGGGAGCTTGCCGTCCACCTTGACGGCGCCATTCACCACTTTGCCTGGGTAAAGGCAGCAGAAGGGCGGCGTGTCCGACCAACCGCCCGAGAGCACGACGCGCGCTGGCAGGGACACCGCCGCGCGCCGCAGGCTTTGGAAACTTTGGAGGGGCGTTTGCAGAAGGCGGACCCGCGCCGAGGCCAGGATGTGGTCCCTGAGGCCGCTGCCTGGCACGGGCGCGCGGCGCTGCAGGACCCGGGCCACCCGGGCCTCACTCCCTTGATTCCCTTGATTCCCTTGCACTGCATCCTGGAGTGAGATCAGGCTCTCCACGGGCCAGGCGTAGTCAAGCAGCCCGAGCCTCCCATTCTCCAAGTGCTCCAAGGTGATGCGCGCGGATCTCGAGGAGACCTCGCCCTCCTCGCGCCCGAGGCTCCCGAGCACCGGGAAGAGGGGCGCGGAGTAGAGGCTGTGACTGTCCAGCGCGCGGGGCAGCTTCCTGTTGGCGACGTGCGTCACGCCTTTGGCCTTCATGTCGTCGCTCACCCCAAAGCACACAGTGGTGGTGCGGCCGCCCTCGAGTGGGATGGTGACCAGCACTATGCCGGGCGGTATCTGGATGTCCTCCGTGGTCACGCTGGAGATGATGCAGTTGGAGCCCACCTCCGAATTCTTCAGATGTGAGAACTCGACCACAGAGTTCCTGTCTACAGAGCTACCATCCAGGAAGGAGCTGAAGACTGCGCACTCCTCACTCAGCTTGCTGTCGGTTACCGTGCTGCCGGCGACCCTTGGGCAAGGGCCGCCGCCTTTTTGCAACTCGGCTTCGTCGAAGCCCAGCTCGCCCATGTTACTGCAGAGGTGTGCCATGTACTCGGGCATGGTGCCAATGTGGTAGAAAGCCAGGTGGTCTCGTGGGCAGGCCGCGTGCAGTTGGAAAGGCCGCAGCGTGTCCCAGATGTGCCTCAGGTCTGCTCGCGCGGCCGGCGGAGCGCCCGGCGCAGCAGCAGGGTAGCCGAGGCCTTCCTCACCTTCCTCACCCTTCTTATCGCTCTTCGTGGGTGCGCTCTGAGGAGCGGCCAACGTTGCCAAAGGCGCCAGGAAGTCGCCGTAGGCGTCGATCTCCCCGAGGGGCGCCTCCACCCAGCAGGCCAAATGCTCGCAGATCGCCGAGATCACGTCCGGGGCCATCCAGAAGTCCGAGTCGGTCCAGACCACCCTCTTAGCACCGCCTCGAAGGCTCTCTGCGCTGGCCGGGAAGTTCCGGTCTGCGATCCGCTTCAGAACGTCCGCTTTGGGCTTCTGGTGATACACAGCCACTCGGTACACCTGCCGATCCGCTGCAGGGCTGGTTTCCGGGCTTTGGTCCTCCTCCTTCATCTCGAAGACGCCGTGCAGGGCGGCGTACTCCAGGTTGTCCGGATGTGCCAGGGCGGTCACGCCCTTCTCCATCACTTGGACCTGCGCCGCATCGAAGACGTCCAGCACGTCGCCTGCGCAGACCATCACGCCACAGCATGAGCAGAAGGGCATCATCAAAGCCACCTTCAAGTCAAAGAGCGTACACACGGGAAAGCCACGCACCACGGGGCACGGGATTGGAGCGAAGATCTTGCCCGTTGTGCTCAAGTTCGGATTTCTCATGGAGTAGCCACCTGAGTGGATCAAGAGCACTCTGGTCTCACTCGGGAAGCTCCTCTTGCCCGACCCGAACTGCTCCTGCAAGACCTTCAACACATTGATCGTGGCGCCCCCGCAGCCCACGCGGTTACCATTCTTGGTGGTCCGGTCGGCTACGACGATGTAGCGGCACGCGGACGGGAGCACGCGCGAGGCCACGCGCGCTGCGATCTGCGCCTCGTACGTCGCTTTCTGCTCGGCGTCGCAGGCTGTCAGCACCAGAGCATCGAAGAAAAGCCCTTCCCCATCCACGGCCTTCTGCAGCTCTTGCTTCCGGGTTTCCAGGAGCTCCTTGCAGGATTTCCACATAGACATAGCGCCCACACAAAGGCAACCTGACTAGCAGGGCTTGTGCGGCAATGGCATCACGGCATCTTCCCCCGCCCAACCCCCCCTTCCGGAAATCCTACGTCGTACTTCTGAGCCACGAACTTCTGCGGCAAACCCATGCTACCAAGCGCATAACGGGGAGACCATATGCTTGACAGCAAAAATCACGAGCTTTGCAGTGGATCTCCTGAAAGTCAAAGACGAGGCGCGAGCAGTGAACGAGCAGAAGCCAGCGCCCATTGGTACAGGAAGCACCTGGGGGACATCTTACACAACAAGACAAAATGAAAGACTCAGTCTGCCCCTGTCCCCTCATCCGCCCCGCACATGCTCAGAGGCCAGAGGCTCAGAAGAAAATCAAGAACGGCAGCTGTGCCAAGCAAGCTTTGGCCCTTCCCCCTGAAGCAACTCCAAATGCTTGCGCAAGAACCTGAGACGAGGGAAATCCACAGCAGGAAATCCGTTCCTAATTTTTCCTCTGCAAATGCTGCAAGCGGTGAAACCAAGCTGTAAAGAAATTCACAAAAAGTTGAAGCAACATGGAACGCCTTTGTACGACCTCCTTAGACTCCGGCTCCCAGGACTTTGGGGACCGAAAAGGGACCCCAACTTTGACAATCTTAAACCCGAAGCTCTCAGCACCGGCTGTATTCAAACGAAGCCCCTCAAGCCCCGAAATCCGAGACCCTGAAGCATCCCGAGTGCTGGTTCAGTCATGGCCGGGATGCTTCTGCTGCACAGCCCACGCCTGTGACACTTCAGCGGGAGGGTCTCGGTGTTTGGGCTTATTTTGAGTTCAGGGCTCAGGGATCAGGAGGTTGAGGCATATGTCTGTACTTGGATTCTATGAAATGAGCTCATTTTGACAAGCTCTCTACATTTCTGGGTTGTGGCATGCCGTGTACATGGTAGAAGCAGTGGAAACTCAATGAGCTCAATGGGTACATATACCGACATGACAGATACTTGGGCCCTACAGTAGCTACATAATCAATATTTGAGGTCCTACAAGTAGCTCCCTAGACCCCAAACCCTAACCCCTAAGGCCCTAAGGTGGGCACATTGCACCCTTTGCAGCGGTTGAGGCCATCTTTTTCTTTCACGAGGCCTCCCAAGTATGCCACGCTCTTTCAGTGGGGGGGGGGGGGGGGCCAGGCTGGCTTCCGTCTCCGTGTGGTGGCTCTATACAAAGCTCTCCACAACTGCTTTTGAACAGCTCTTCGCTGCCTGGTTAAAACTGAAAACGTGCGCGGATTACAGTTGCACACCGGAGATGAGCGGAGTTCCTGTAGCATCTCAAGCCCCAGCTGACACCAGCGAGCTGTCATTCAGCCACAGAATAGCGCTCCTTGCTCCGAATTGCTCCCCGACTTGCAGCTGTTTCGTCTTCTACACAACACAAAGTGACCTAAACCCCTACCCCTAAACCCCACTGTCGAGGATCGTGATGGGTACTATGACTAACACTGCGGCTATACTCCTATTCCTTTCTCCTACTCCTTCGACTACGACTAGCTACCACCACGATCACTACTACATCTTCTACCACCACTGCTACGACCACCCCTTCTACCCAAGCCTGAGCTAGCTTTCCGCAAGTTTCTTAAAGCTGCGCATTTTGGGGTGAAGTACAAGCAGTGGCACGAAGAGGGGGGGGCACTCTACGGCCCCTCTGTGCCCAGAGCTTACTTCTGGTAAGGAAGGAATGAAGGTTCGTGCTGGGGGGTTCTTGAAGGGGTTTCTTAGGGTATCTTGGGGCTTTTCAGGGTTTCCTTGGCTCCCAGACCCCTGAAAGGATCCAAAAAGTAGATCCGCCCCGCTCGAGTTTCAGGGTTTAGGATTTTCGGCCTTTTGAGGGGATCTACACGGATTTCTTCGGAGACCTGGGCAGCCACGACTAAAGCAGCCTGCGAACTAGGCAGGCTCCACTTTCACCTCCAGGGTGACGGTTGGAGCTGCCGGGTTCCAGTGGGGATCCACGAGGAGGCGGTAGAGCCGCACCTCAAAGAGGTACCAGAGACAGAGTGCGGAGCAGGACCATCACCAGACCGAGCTCCACTCCGCGGGATCGCAGGTCTCCCGAGCGATGACGTTGAAGTAGAGATACCTTTCTATGGGTGGGGGAGACTTTTTGTGGGACAAAGAGAAGCAAGAGACGCAAGGCCCCCCCCCCTTAGACAAAGGGTCCCTTTGCAGGGTTTGGGGGGTTTCTCTAAGCAGGTCCAGGTACGTTGGGGCCCAGGTCCCCAAGCCAATGACCGTGATGCCCAAGCCTGCCCAGTGTCCCTGCGTGGCCTCCTTACAGCAGGGGAGGGGCCTGAGATCGTCGAACTTCCCCAAGAGCACCAGAAGGGGAAAGGGCCCCAGGTAGGTGAGATAGTAGACCACCTGCACCCAGGGCTCGAAAAGCTCGGTGTCCGTGTCAGGGCCCCACAGGAGGTGGTGGCACTTCCCTGCATAGCTGCAGTAGTGCTGGATGCCGACGATGCGGTTTAACATGTCGGCCACGTAGCCCAAGACGGCGAGGCACAAGATGGATCCCACGGCGATCTTGCGCCACCTTACAGCTGAGGGTTGAAAATCTATGCCTTTCTCTTACCTCAGGGCCTCTATGTGAGAACGCCCCGCCTTTCGGGTACCACGTTGAAGAAGGTGGCGAGGTAGAAGGCGGAGGTCACAAAGCGCCAGAAGGCCGCAGCAGCGATACTCCAGGCCTTGTTCGCGTCGTTGCAGGTATACTTGGCCTCCCCTTCATTGAGCCACAACATCATCTGGCAGAACTCCTGCATCATGACCGGGGCCACGCAGACTGCATACCATCGATCATAATGCTGGCGGCGGTAGATGAGGTAGGCGAAGGCACCCAACTGCAACGCAAAGAAAGTCCCAGCCACCTCCGCAGACCAACACATCTGGCTCGGATCGCTGCGGTGTTTTTGTTTGGCCCTTTTCTTCAAAAAGGGGGCAACCCACGCGCTCGCCCCCCCCTTTTGCCCAGGACCCTGAACTTTCTCCCTTGTCCTTTGCGAATTAACAGACAGGGCCCGAACCCTATATCCCTCAATGAACCCATCAAGTCAGCTTACTAACCGATCTGCATATGCTTTCTTTGAGCCCCCGGAAGCCACACAAAGGCCAGGTCCTTGGTCCGAACGCTGCGGGCGAAGAGCACCGGACACGCTCGGGATTGTTTTATGGAGGCTGGCGCATGCAGGAACATGCAGGCCCGCAGAAACCCCCACTCCTACAGAGTACGCCAATACCCAGGAAGGCTTCTTTCCACACCGTTCGACATATTCAAAAACACAACATAACCAAAAATGTGCCCAAACGCAAGCTGTGTGAACACTTTTGAAACATCACATAACCAAGAACGTGCCGTAACGCAGTGATTTTCAACACTTTGTTGGTTATCATTCGGAAGGAGCCCTTCCGAACCTTGCTTGGTTATCATTCGGGTGGAACCCTTCTAAACCTTGTTTGGTTCTCATGCGGAAGGAGCCCTTCCAAACCTTGTTTGGCTATCATTCGGAAGGAGCCCTTCCGACCATTTTTGTTATCATTCGGACGGAGCCCTTCCGAACCTTATTTGGTTATCATTCGGAGGGAGCCCTTCCGAACCTTGTTTGGCTTGTTTGGCTATCAGTCGGACAGAACCCTTCCGAACCTTACTTGGATTTCACTCGGAAGGGGGCCCTTCCGAACCTTGTTTGGTTATCATTCGGACGGAGCCCCTCCCGAACCTTGTCTGGTTTACTTTCGCAAGGATCCCTTGCGAATGTATTTGATTCTGATTTGGAAAGAGCTCTTCCGAACCTTGTTTGGTTATCATTCGGAAGGAGCCCTTTCGAATCTTATATCCTCGTGACTTTCGTCACTTCTTCAGGAACCGTGCCTCAAGAACGCCTCAACTAACCAAAAGCGTGCCACAACAAACGTGCATCAACAGCATGGCTCTCCCTGCAGGTGTTCTCGATGTGTCACTCCATCAGGCAAAGTGAAGGATTTCCGCCAGGCGCCTCATCCCCTCGCACTTTTAAGCAACCACAAAACTTCAAACAGCTCTTGAGACGGGAACCCTACCGCGCCGCATTCGGGGAAGCAGGGCACCTGAAAGAGCAGAGCCCATCCCCAAGCCTCCAGAGCTCCATGTGCGCATGTTGGGATCATGGTCTCATGACTACGCTTTTTGCACTGGCGCGCAAGCTTAGCTCGCGGATGTAGCAGTACCACATCCGCGCCCTGGATTTCTGCATCTTGAACACCTAAATGACTACGAAAGAATATAGAACTCCCATTCTACTTGTACTCTAAAATAGAAACATAGTTCGCCAATGCATCCTGCTGGGCCCATCCGGCGAGGCGCGGGCAATACAATAAACCCAACAAACCCAAGAAACCAGCCCCAAAGCCCGCAACACAACAAAACCAACAAACCCAAGAAACCTCTAAACCTACTCCAACCTAAGCACTGAAGTACGTGAATCGCTGCTGCCGAAGCTTCAAGGAGTACATGAGAAGGGTTGAAACGGGATGAGAAGGGTTTAGCGGGGATTGGAAGCGTTAAAGAAGGGTACAAGGAAGGTGAAAGAAGGGTTACAGAAGGGTTAAAGAAGGGTTTTGGATGGGTTTGGGCTTGGAGGACGTCTTGAGGGTTGGACTATTGTGGGTTTGTAAGAGTTCGCGGTTTATTGGCATCAAGTACCGTTGCCAGCTTATGCCTGCTTCTCACGCGCATCGATGGTGAGCACCCCACTTCTCCCTGCGCTCTAAGCATGTGGGACTCTAACAAATCCAGGGACTTACTTGCAATTCAACGCGGTTCTGCCACTGCCAGCAGAAGCTACGCCGGTTCTGCCAGTACGTTGCCAGCAGGGCCGCAACGACTTACAATTCACAAGCAAACGCAGTACGGAAACATGCCTGTTCTCAGTGGAAGCCCATAAACCCAGTATACCCATTAAGTTTGAGATTCTTGGCAGCTTCCGGGAATCCAGGACCTGAAGGCTGAAATCTGAAGCTTCAGGGGTTTTTATCTTAAGCCTTGGAGGCAGCCTTGTAAATTTGAGGCTTCCTGCTCTTTCACGGCAATCGAGATCTGCTTGTCTAAAAACCGAAGCCGAAGCTTCTGGAGCAGTTTCTGGCCAGCTCTGATGAAACAGTTTCTCTACATTTGGACTCTTAAGCAATCTGCAGTAAAATGTTGGATTCCTGGCCAGCCGAATTTTGCAATTGTCGCCCCTTTCTTGTTTTCACCGGGACCCCTTACATAGATCTGTTTAGACATATTAACCCGAAACCTTCTGCCAATTGAAAATGCTCTTGGACCGGGACCCCGGGGTCGGCCAAACATTACAAACGCGATTCCGAGAAACATGCGAAAAACACCATCAAAACATATCTAGATGCTTGGCTTTTTCCACACCCGACGAGAGGTTTCGCATGTATCTGGAGGCACGTTCAGCGAGGAGGAACAAGAACAGGTCACAAGGCCATTTAACGCAAGTAGATTTCGGGGGGTCTCCGAGGCAGGCGAAAATCAACTTGGTTCTGGCACAACCACGTCGAATTGTTTAGTCGCAAAATAGGGGCTCGTGAAAGCACGGTTCGCAGGGAGGGGGTGCAAGAAGCAAATCGATAGATTTCCGGGCTAGTGAACTCGACTTCGATTTCGGCAAAACCACATGGAATTTGGCAGCCAAGCAGGGGGGTGGGGTTTTCGACTTGCTTTAAATAGAATTCTGAAGATTTCCCCGGCTAAGTTTCTCGACACCCAGGGTTTTTCGACTTGGTTCCGGCAGAAGTACGTCCATTTTTTCTCGGAATCCCTAACGCACGACCCAGAACCACGTCGAAGTTGTAACGCGCGGGCCAGAACCACGTCCAAAATCCTACCGCGCAGGCCAGAACCACGTCCAAAGTCCTAACGCGCAGACCTGGAGCATGTGGGGTAACCTCAACGTATCATGATTAAGTGGGGTGGGACTTGTAAAATTCGGCCGACCCCGGGGTCCCGGTCCAAGAGCATTTTCAATTGGCAGAAGGTTTCGGGTTAATATGTCTAAACAGATCTATGTAAGGGGGCCCGGTTTGCGGCGCACGTGAACTTGCCCGAAATTTAATATTTGGATTTCTAAAGACTGAAACCTTCATGAACGACTCTGGGGGAAATATGCCTATCAAAACATATTAAATTCATGCGTGCCTTATAATTTAGTATGTTTTGATAGGGTTTTTCGTGGAGTCGCGAGTGAAGGGAGCAATGAAGGAGGCACTTACAGCATTAGTGGTTACGTCTCAAAGTACTGGAGATGACTCGGTTTTTGGTTGGCAATTCACTTTAAGAATATTGTGTGCGTTTTCCTCATTCAATTCGTGCACTTACTACGTTCGTTTACAAGTAAAATAAAGCGCAAAAAAGACTATGAAAGTAAATAGCTGGTTAAACGAGGTTAATGGCCCCTTTAATACAATTCAGCGGAAGCTTCAGATTTCAGCCTTCAGGTCCTGGATTCCCGGAAGCTGCCAAGGATCTCAAAGCAGCGGCCTCCGTAAATCCTTATCCGCCAGGGCTCGACAACAAATGCGGAACGGGTACTGCAGCTCGCGTTCAGGAGATGGTGCTAATGCGTTTCGTTTATTTGCGCATATTGAGCACGTAACACCTGCAAAGGCTTGGGTGGAACAAATGCTGGGAGAGGATTCCGTTCTGCCGATTGAGATTGAAAACGCCCTGCGAATGTTCTTGGAGCGGCCACAGGCAATTGCAGATGCCTCCTTTGCAGGTGACCCCTTACCATTGTAATGTGTCATCAGCACGACCTCCACGAGGCGAGGTCTCTGTTCAGTGGGTTCACTTCTTCTTCTTCTTCTTCTTCTTCTTCTTCTTCTTCTTCTTCTTCTTCTTGGGCGGCCGGCTGCCTTTGGCGCGGACGCCTCCCTGGACAGTCCAGAGAAGCTGCACGCTTCCCTCGAATCGTTAAAGTTCGGCCATGTTTTAAGGGGAGGTCTGACACAAGCGTCACACACATCGTGCCCTGGCTGGACAGAAAGCTTGAGCTCAGAGGAGACCACAGTCGGACTGCACATCCTGATTTACAAAATCAGCCTCAGCACTGTCGTGTTTGGTGCGCCGCTGAACTCTATCTACTTTGCTTGGCTGCGTTGCTGCTGCCATGCTGCTACTCCTTTCCACTGCAAGGTCTGAAGCCAGCTAGCCGAACGCATGGGCCGGCAGAGCTTAGAGGCAAGGAGTTCTAGTCCAGCTCAGCACAGCGCGACCCGCTGCTCGCTGCAGCTCGCGGCCAAGACAGTGCCAGCGTGGCTTTGGAATTTCTGGAAGCCGACGGTGTTGCTGTGGGGAAGGATCCCGGTTCGTGCCTGGAGCGGGCTACAATTCTACAAACCTGGTGTGGAGGGGCACGCGACCCATCAATGCATCGTCGAGCCTGTCCAGAAAAGCTGCACGCTTCCTTCCTTATTAACGCTCGGCCATGTTTTGTGGGGAGGTCTGGCACAAGCGTCGACTTCCTCACACAGCCTCACACATCGTTCTGAGTGCGGTGCAAAAGGACAAATCTAAGAAATGCTTGGAAAGAGAAGCTTCAGGGGGGGGGGGGCGGTCACGTGTGTGCAATGGCCATTGGCCCAACCTCCCCCGTCGCAGACACACCTGGTACCCTCAAGTGTGCAACGCCTGATCCAGAGTGTCCGTGGCGTTGGGCGTTCAAGCCTGCGCTCATGCGTGGGACTTGAGCCTGGCAAGTAAGCAGAGAGCTTGAAGGTAAGGCCAGCTCGGGGGGATCGGCGATGGCCACGGAGTTTTAGCTAGACATTCGTTGCATAGCCTCCGGAAACGTATCCTATGGGCTTGCCACTGCAAAGTCCAGAGACCGGCAATTGGACCCCCCCA